AAAAAAAAGACAATAATTGGAATGTCTTGTGGAATTTAAAGTATATCTAGAACAACAATGCATGACAACAATCACAAGATAGGAGAGGGGTCAGTGGAGTTAAATGGTACAGACTAGCAGCACTGTTGAAAAGTGAGAATGTAAGAATTTGTATGAGACTGCAGTAAGTCAAGGACTCAGGTTGAAATCTAGTCTGACTACTAAACTAATAGCAAAATAATGCATAACAATATCACTCATTATAGTAAATGCTCCAAAGAGGAAATTATAGTATTTTCTGACTGGATATAAAAACAAAACCAAACTTAATGTTGTTTACAAGGGATACATTTGAACTTCAAAGACCTGGAAATGTTGGAAGAGGGATGGAAAAATTTATATCAGCAACCTGAGCCAAAAGAAGGTTGGTATAGCTATATTGTTATCAGCAAAGTAGGCTCTAAGGGCAAGTGTAACATAAATGTTGAATAAACATGGAGGACTTCATTAGCAATTAAGGAAATGCAAATTAAAAACACAAGATAGGGGCGCCTAGGTGGCGCAGTTGGTTAAGCGTCCGACTTCAGCCAGGTCACGATCTCGCGGTCTGTGAGTTCGAGCCCCGCGTGAGGCTCTGGGCTGATGGCTCGGAGCCTGGAGCCTGTTTCCGATTCTGTGTCTCCGTCTCTCTCTGCCCCTCCCCCATTCATGCTCTGTCTCTCTCTGTCCCAAAAATAAATAAATGTTGAAAAAAAAAATTAAAAAAAAAAAAACACAAGATACCCTTTCATACCTTTCAGATTTTTAAATTTAGGAAATCAGACATTTGGTGAGGATATGGAAGTGCAGGAATTTACACACACTCCCCTTGGGAGTGGGGTGTATACATTCAATCACTTTCATTCTGTGACGTGCATTTCCTCTGTCCTAGCAATTTTTCTGCTAGTCAGGGCTGACACTGGTGCGCAGCTTTACTCAGTGGTTTATGGCCAAGTCCTCTTCTTGCTGATCAGTACCCAGGCCATACACGTTGTTCAGTGTTTAAAATAACGTCCCTACCACCAGATATATCCAAGGGAAATTCTTGAACACATATGTGGTGTATCCTTGGTTGCATTTTTTGTAAGTGTTCAGCAAGGGTAGAAGAGGTAAATATGTTGTTGTA